TAGGTTTAGAAGGACCTGAGAAAACTTTTAGTTAAAAACCTCTGAGTAATCTGTCTTGTGAGTGAGACTAATATGTTAATTAAATGAATGTGAAAAGGTTACAGATCCACTCGAAGGGAGCAGTTCATTCAGTCATCAATCTGATCTGATGTTAAAGAACTAACGGAGCATGAATAACTGAAATAAATCCGAACAGCAAAGAAAGACCAACCAGAGAACGGCTTAAAGCTGACAGTGTTGATGCTCGGAGTCAGTGCAATAACCACAAACATGAGCATCGCAAGTGATCCGTTTTTGGCTGCTGGTCTTTTGTGCTGAAAAACTCAATGCAAAGAACTATAAAATGACCAAACAGAACATGAGGGAAATTAATTGTTTTCAAAGTATTCACTGAAAAATTGGACAGAAATATTCAAGCTAAGTGGCCAAAAGTTTGCACGAGGACTGGATTTTAATACCTCTCAACAGCTTCCAAACAGAAGCCCAGAAAAGATGCACTGCTGCTGAACTCCAGCTCCAAAGACGTAAATCATCACACCCGTAAGGTGAATCTAAGCTTCCTGCTATTCCAGGAGGAGAAAGCTGCACACAAAGAAGACTGACAGAGAATATGGCGAACAAAACAAACACATCCTGTGTGAACAGATGAGCTCACGAGACTGGGAGCGTAATTGGACACCATCAGGTCTGGAATTATCCAGCAGTAGTCACAGTTCTTCACCCACCCACACCAGCGCCCTCAGTACTGGAAAGAAAACATCAGATCTGAGCTTTGATGGATGGAGAAACATGGACTTAAACCCACTAACAGAGTCGTTATCCACAGAGTGGGCTACAGACAGGGAGCAGCAGCACATTAAGCTTTAAAAGGGACCCGACCCTGCAGGAGACCTAAACAGGTCCCACACTATACAGGGCAGGTTCATCCTGTGGTTGTGCCGTGTCTATTGGAAATATTCACTCACAGTGTGTCTGATATGTTGCACTCCAGTCTTGCCCTCATTTGAGGTGTCAAATGCAAAAACATGCACTGTCATGGCCCAGGGCTAAGCTGAGCAAAGTAAA